AAAACAGAAACGGCATGAAAATGGTAAAGAGAACGGACCCTTAGAGTTTTCGAAATTCTTGTTTGATAGTATTGTTCGAATTTAATGGAGACCAATTTGAATTGAATTTAGCAATGGATAAGATTTTGTGATGAAATTCTGACCATCAATTGGTATGTTTTTACTAATTCTATTCAGAAAATTCATTAGCCCAAGGCATCTTCATGTGCTAATGGATCTGATTTTGCTAGTTCTATTTAGGATCAATAATCATTCACATATTTTGAAATGATCTAACGAGAATCGATGCATAACCTATGTTAAGTAATGATAACATGTCATATCAATCCATTAAAACTTTACCTATCAATAAATTAATATAATGCATTATCAAAGTTAAGCATAAGATGAGCATCGATGCTTATTACATCAGTCATTTTCACATATTAGACTCGAATAGATTGACTTAGCTTTTATGTAGTGATTTATTTATCGTTTGAAGAGTAAACTTACAGTATTATAAGATGAGAAGACTTAAATCAAAGCAAACAAATATTTTAAGATCAAATTTCTTACCTATATATGAAATACCACGTGAAAGGATTGAAAGGACCATGAAACTGCTCCTTTTATGTTTATATTATATGTGTGTATATAATATATGAACAAGATTAGAATTGAGTGATGAATTAGAGTAAGATTAAATGTCACAAAAATAAAAAGAGTTGAAATATTATTTATTTATTTACACAACTTTCAATGTATAAGTCGAATTTATTTTCTCATCAAAACTTGGCACATTAAGTTTGACAAATAAGTGAAGAAATTTTATAAATTCTAATGAATTTTTAAATTGCTTAAAATCTAAATTGAGTACACCCCCGCGACATTCACGATCAAGTGGCACGAGAAGCCTACTATAGTGTCTATACCTCCATAAAGAAGGGATGCGGGGGAGATTCTACACAGATCGGCATATAGGGTGGGATAATTCCCTCGTACAGGGAATGGTTGACAAGGTTTTTACAGGTGTTGCGCATATATGGCCTTTTTTTTTCAACATCTAATAAAATTGCGCCATATGTTATCTCCCAAAAAGAATCTGTGAAAATTTTCTATACTCGTAGCATTGTCCTATAGGGTGACTAAATACTGTCATTATTCAAATTCCTAAATTGGGCAGTTTCAAGTTTCAAAACCTTAGTTCATAACCATATTTGGATTGCTATATATAATAACTATCATCGTCCAAATCTCAAAGTTCCTAGTCCTTTATTTCTTACCAAAATAATTATTAAATTCAGTCTAATAAAACAAGCAATATTCAATAAATAAAGAATAATCTGCCCCATTTTTCGAATACCCCAAATTTGGAGAAAGATGATTTAGTGTAATTTACAAATTGAAAAATAAAGAAAAAGTTTGTGAGGATTTTGTCGATGACCAAGAATATTTTAAGCAAATTATCGTATCCATCAAGGGAAGCTTAGTGTTACTAGTCAACGTTGAACGTATGTTGCACGTTATTATGAAATGTTCGTTTATTGCTATAGAAGTAATATTTGATTATACGTGAATATTAATTAATTTAGAATTAATACCAGGAAATATATGTGACAATGAATGTTAAATCATTTATTTAATTTCTAATTAAATAAAACTGGATGTTAATTAGCATACATGGATGTGAATAATGAAATACATAATTAAATGTGAAATTCTAATTAACTTATAATTAGAATTAATAAAATTGAAATGCATAAATGAAGATGAATATTAATTCGATAAATGTGAATGTTAATTAATTGAGAATGAATAATAGGGAATCCATACATTAATGAAATCACAAAGATGAAATGAATATGTCAAATGTACATGTATATTGATCGTAAGTAAATGGTTAAATAAAAAATATATATTGAAAAACGAAAATTAAGATATTATTGAAATAATTGAATTATAGTATGGTTAGAATCGCCCAAAAAATAATTCTCATTTGAATTGATATTTAATATATTATAAATATTAGCTTTTATCATTTTATTATATTTACTAAGTATAACTTCGATTATTATTTTTCTGTAACTTAGATTTGGCTCTCTCAAATTTTGCGCTTTTTGTAATATGGAGGGATAAAGGGTTCCCATCATATGTAGCATATATCTTGATGATTATTTAAAGAAAAAATATATGACTACAAAAGTTTCAAAATATATGTTCAAAACTAACAAACTTATGATTTTTTCTCAAAATTAGGTGATCAAATTTTTGACATCTGATTATTTATAATTTAATTAGACAGATCAAGATCACAAACCACACAATTTATGGTAACAATTAATCACAAATCACACAAGGTCACATCACAAAAACACAATTTTTTTGTTCTCAATCATGTATTTAAGTCACAAAATTACACATTTAGTATGTCACAAATTATTTATTAGCCTAATGGGTGTCGAATCCGACAAATAATAAATGCTTGCTCTCTTGAAATATAAATTGTAGCAAGGGGGAGAGAGATCGTATCCACAGAGATTGGTTAGATTCAATTCTACAAAGATTAGGACAATAAAAGAGAGGGAAGGTTTTGGATTGTTGTGAATTAAAACAAATTAAATTTAAGCAATTTTTCTAGAATGAAAATTAAAGAGAAGATCAATATTAGTCGAATATCCAGTCCAAGGTATAATTTCAAAATTGATTCAGAGAATCGATCATTGATGCAAAAATAAAATCCTTTATTCTTTCACCAAATTGGCTATGGTCGTTGATACGATTTAATAACCTATGTTTCCTTACTTTCTCGATAATCAAGAGACGTTCTTGGACTATTTCTATTGTCAATAAACAACCCTAAACACGATCTTAAGATTTAATTTACCAACATCATTAATCTCTAGAGAGGCTACCAATTCTAACCAACAAATACACAAGCGTG